ATAGCAATTACCTAGAGCCACCATTGGCCATTGCATTGGACTTGAATTTCTTTGTCTCCATTTACATTATTGTAGTCACAGGTATTGTTCTTTTGGTTTTTATTCTTCACTCAGAATCAATTCTTGAGTCTTTGGTGTTGATCTAAAGCTTTCCTATTTGTCATTCCTTTTAGTGCAACATTATTTCAATACCATTGTACACAAGTTTTTAAAACATTTCCAAGTCAATGGACACATTTGTTTCTAGAGGCAAGTCATCTAGGTCTTCCTTAGCTCCTATAAATATTTTGACACTAAGGGAGCTTTCTGTCATTGACTTCCTTGGGGTGGAGGAAAGGTATAAAACCAGTAGAATCACAGCCCTAAAAGGGATGATCAGTTCAGTGACTTTTCATACCAATTCCAAATTGTTTTCTAAATTTGTTCGACCAGTTCAGTTCCACCCAGTTTGTTAGTACACTTTATCTTCCCACACTTACCTAAACATTGTCTATTTCCATCCTTCACCATCTGCCAGTTTCATGGGTGTGATACTTTAGTGTTTCCAATTTGGATTCTAAATATTAGTATTTCCATATAATTATTGGTTTGCATATTTCTTCACTTAACTCAGTTTATATCCTTTGATCACTTAACAATTTGTAATTCATTTTCATAACTGTATTAATTCCACATAGATTTTAGATGCCAAACTTTTATTAGAGATTTTTCATGCAAAGATTTTTTTGCTTATATACTTTTCTACTTATCCTAATTGAATTCTGATTGTGTAAAAATATCTGCATCTTATATAATTGAAATTATTTCCTCCTGTAACATTTTCTATCCCTCACCTGATTATAAAACTAACTCTAACCTTTAGTTGTGAATCATATGGACTTTTACATATTTAGAGCATTTATCCATTTGGCCATTATTGTGGTATATGGTATAAAATGTTGGTCTATATCTATTTTCTGCCAGTCTTCTAATTTTCCCAGTTCTTATTGAATTTTACCAAAACTAGGCTGCCATACTTGTTAGTTGATGGGCATTGATAATCTAATCTATTGACCTACTTTTCTATTTAAAAAAAATCAGTACCAAATAGTTTGATAATTATTGCTTTATAACTTGAATTCTGATAATGGTAGACCCCCTTAAGACATTTTAAAGAGATATGCTGCCCCCTCCTGGCATTTTACCAAATTACAAATTTTATTAACTTCAATAGTTTGAAGATGAAAGATAACCAAAGTCCAGGTTATTAGATCATTATTTTTCTTTCTCTTTCACAGTGGCCTTTATTTCATACATTTCTTATTTTGTATATACAATTTTACTTTATCCATCTAGTTTATGGCTACATCTTTTATCTGCTTGATACAAATTATGTCTTCCTTTCCACTTCCAAGTCCACTGTCCTCATACCAGGCAATAACTGCTAAACCTATCTCTTCCCAAACCTCTGCACTAACCTAAGTATGGCAAAGCTCATCACCAGTAACCACTTGATAATTATTTCCCCACAACAACCCAAGAAACAAAAATAGTTACAAAGTGGCCCTTTGTTCTATGTGGCCTCCCTTCTACAATGTGTTAGTAGTGGAAGGAATGACATTAAACATTAAGTTAGCTACTGGTATTTCTTATGTGAGGTTTAATGGTTCAAGTACACAAAAAGTGTATTATTTAAATTGCTTTTTTTTTTTTTTACCATATATGAAACCAGAAGACAAAAAGTATGGTAGCTAAATGGCTAGAGGGCTTGAGCTCTTGGAGAGGCAAGTAATAGAACTGGCAGGGTTATTTTCCCTACTACTGTGCTTCTGACTCTTTGGACTTTAGCACCATGCCCCTTATGCTGGAACTTGCAACCTAGAGCCCTTCTCCCACTGGTGAGTTCTTCCTCAGGTCTTCATTTTGGCAGGAGACTCAGGCTAGCCACCATAATTTCTCCAGTTCCTGCACTTCTGACTTTCCAGACTTCCCTGCTGGGGACGTTCACCACTTCACCCCACTACCCACTTTCCGACTTCTTTTCATATGTTGTCTTCCCCTATGAGACTATAAGCTCCTCGTGGGCTGGAGCCATCTTTCTGTTTGTATTTGTAGCTTCAGCACTTAGCACAATGCCTGACACATAGTAAGACCTTAACAAATGCCTATTGCCTTGCCTTGTATTTCTGAAGCAACAAAAAGTATCACTTCATGGAATATTTAATCATCTCAGATTACAGTTCTCATAAGTACTCCAAAAAGATCATCATGAAAATAATTATAGCTTATTCACCATCATCTATTGTTGAGGATGAGATTAGAAAAATATATAAAGAACTTGGTAAAACTCTCCAAATTAAATAAGAGTAACTTTAATATTTAATGACTTCAGGGCACAGGTGAGCATTGGGGAGAATAGGAAAAAATGTTATAAAACAGGGTTAAGGAATAAAGAGAGAAGCATCACACCTACATATCATAAAAATATGGTTCAGGAATAAGAAAAGCAAGTTAGACTGCACAGAAACATTCTACCTCCATACATTTACTCTGTTAAAAAAAAGTCAGAAGGCTCCCAACATGAAGTACCCAATTTCTTTCTTTTCAGTGAGGGGAGAGAAGGGGTCCAGATTTGAATTCTTTGGTGTTTGGGAAACTCTCTTCAATGATGCAAAGCAGCAACTCCACTCTACCTTAAGTAATTTTGTTTTGTTTTGGCTTTTTGGTGAGGCGATTGGGGGTTAAGTGACTTGCCCAAGGTCACACAACTAGTAAGTGTTAAGTGTCTGAGGCTGGATTTGAACTCAGGTCCTTCTGACTCCGAGGCCAGAGCTCTATTCACTGCGCCACCTAACTGTCCCTACCTTAAGTAGTTTTGAGAGTTGCCTGGGAGACAGAAGAGTTAAGGGATTTGGCCATAGGTACAAATCTAAACCTGCAAGTGGCAGGATGAACATAGGTTTTCCTGACTCTAAAGCTAGTGATCTTTCCCTCTTATCCACTATATTATATTGCCTCTTTGCATCAACATCACAAGAAATCAAATTGTTACATGACATTATGTCTGTATACACACAACACACACACACTTTTATAATACAGTAAAACTTCAATAAACCAGAATGCTAAGATTTCTGATTTAATTAGAATTTATTAACTTCAGCTTAAATAAAACTTTTGTTTCAAGTTTTATCTAGAGTCTAAAATATTAGTCTGCTATCTTATCTAAGAGTATAATTAATTAAAGTTAATTCATCTTTCTTTGGTGTTTTAGCATCTTATCATGGACTCCCCACTGTCATAATTCTGAGTATCAGTATTACAGAAATTAAAGTTTTACATCTGAACCCAGAATATACCCTGGATATAGCATTTTTGAGTAAATGAATAACAGCAAGTTTATTTCCTTACCTTTTGCCTTTCCTAAATGTAAAACACATTTACTCCCTCCTCCCTTATTCTACCTGAATCTGTAAAACTGGGTCTCAACCAGACTTCTGAATATAATATGCCTACCCTTGTTACACACCAATATTCAAAAGAGCCATCATTTTGTCATTAAGAGTACTTACCCCCTCCAGTGGAACAGATCACAAATGTTCCATACCTTAGCAGGTTTACAAGTTGTTGTGACCAACTGGTGAAAAATAAAATCATCTTCTGATAAAACACCTCTTCAAACCTAGCTGGGATTCTAAGACAGTCTACTGTCAAGCTCATTCATACCCAAAGGCTTTCCAATGAAGGAGGGAATGCTTTACTGACTCACCCCAGTAGGCAACACTGTAGACACTAGCATTCTCAATATTTTACCTACAAATTTTTATGCTGCTTTAACTTTTCCATAGTATAAGTAAATCCTTACAACTGAATATTACTATTGCTAGAACTAAAAGAGAAAAACACTAAAAAGTCTTCTAGAATGATTAGCTGGTTGCACAGAATAAGGTCCAGAATTCACTTCTCTTGGGAGTCAAGATTTACTTTGCCCCTTTATAACATCTCTGGATAAAGTTCAAGCAAATACAGAGTCCAGTTCAGTGGATTTGCTAAACCCAAACTATTCTTGGCATATACTCCAAAAACACAAAGATAAAAAAGATGAAGGAAAAAGATTTAAAATTTTTTATCCTTTCTTCACAATGCTTATATTTTAGTTAGTTTCCTCCAAGAATTTCACATGCAAAGAACTATCATACAAGATGGGTAGGCATAGATGAATTATGGTCTGTATCACTGAAAGGAACACATACTATGTATCAAAATATTGTATTTTACTGGTTTACAGGTAGTGCTTCTCTCATTTTGAGTTATATATCAAATAGTGAAATAAAAGTAGGAGGTAAGTTCATTCTCTTAATGAAGCTCAAGCACAGAATTTGGTATGGAATACACATTTATCTCACATACCTCTGTACATACATGTGTATGTAAACATTATCTCTGTGTGTGTATGTATATTTCAAATACCAGTACATATTAGCACTTCCAATAGAGTGTAGCAAGAACAAATGAAATTTAAAATAAGTTTTGCAATTAAGGTATATATGAGGTATACCTGCAAATAAAAAGACTTTTTTTTTCAGAGAAAATGTTTTCTATAATGAGGATTTCTTATGAAACTGGTGACTTTATATATTTGGGAAACAGCTGTTGAATCACTAGGTGGAAAAAGCCAAATGCATTCTCTTTAGTAGCATAGGATGTCCTTCAGCTAGTACTCACTTGTTCATTGCTAATAGCTACCAGACATTCATAACACCAAGAATAAGCCAAACACACCTATTTGTCCAAGATTTTCACCTGTTAGAACAGAAAACTGATCCCATAGATGAATTTGGTCTGACATGCTCTTAACTAAAATATACTTTATTCCTAACATAATTAGCCAAGATAAAATACCCTGACTACAAAATGTAGCTATTAAGATGATTCAAATCTGATAGGGATTTCACAACAGATGCTCTATATTCGCACAAATAATGAAGTAATCAGAAAAAACTAACATATTTACTAAGAAACAAAGAAGCACAAAAAATTTATTTTTGTTAAATAAGATAAAACATCATTTCAATGTAAAGATGCCATCTTTATTTACAGGCTAATAAAAAAATATTCAACCCAACTTAACTAGTTATAATACAGTTGTTGCAAATATTACATCTTTTACTGATAAGCCCAACCCTGAATTGGATATTGGATTATATAATAAATAATGTTGTAAAATAATGTTTAATACGTATAGAAAACACCTTTTGAGTTTCTGAAGACAGACACAAAAATTCCCAATGTGGTAAAAGTACCATCACCAAGGAAATTCAACCATCTTTTGACAATTGTTCAGTTACCTCCACCACCAAGGATTTTTCATTTTTCTTAACTCTACCTTAGTATGGTCCCATGTTGTAAAAGTCAATATTCTGTTAAATTCTATAGAGGCATTACAGATAAGGAATCTTTAGAAAATGGTCCTGATGTTAGATGTGTATATTTGCTATGGTCATTATCTAGACCTTTTCAACCACCATTACCACCCTACACACACACACACACACACACACACACACACACACACACACACACACGCACGCACCCCTCTTCCAAATCATTCTCTTTTTTCTTGACAGTCTGGTTTTGTCTTAGAAGCAATTGTGTAATTGGCTTAATTGCTATATATTGATGGTTTCTTTCTTACACAAATGAAAACATCAATACTGCTTTACATTGGAAACTCTTCTTAAATCTAACTCCTCTTTGGACCAGGGTCTGAGAGGTACAGTTAGGAGCAAAACAGAAAGAAAAGGAGAAATCATCTCTGTAATTCCTAGTTCATTCTCAACGTGCTATAGCTCCTAGGTGAATTTTGAACTGCAACAGCTACCAAAGCACCTGTATGGCTACCCATTGGTGGGAAGCACAGATTATTCACAGTAGCATCCTAGTAACAGTGCTCTAATCTGGGGCTTCAAAACCAAGGTAGAGAAGAGATGAAGTGGAGACAGTCATACAGACATTTACCTCTTTCTATAATTCTCTATTCAACAGCCCTTGAAAGACTACAGCAGCAGGCTGTGGGATATCAACAAAAAAATAAAGAGTAGTGTTTTCAATGACCTTGTTCATTCCAGGCTGGATATTAAATTCTGGGGAAGGAACTTCCAATCCTTCACAACATCCTCCAAATCACATCATCATCTTCACAGATATCTCAGTTTCAGGACCATAATAACTCTTCATAAATCTAAAAGTTAGTTCTCTTTAAACAACAGGTTCCATCTTAAAGTTGGAAGTCTTAAAGTTTTAGTCACAGATAAAAAGGAGGATATTCTCTGCAAAATGTGATAATCACTATCATCATTCACTATCTTTTTGGAAAATAGGAAAAGAAAAAAAACTCCATGCCCTAGAGGAATAGTTTTAGATTTGCCACAATGAAAAACCTCACAGCAAAGCATTACAAAAATGAATACACACTGAAATCCAACTGCAGATCTCATATCATGCATGAAAAAGCAATTGCTCCCCCCACCCTCCCACCAAAAATGATGTTAGAGCAAACAATGATGTGCACCTTGCTTGCTTACTCATTTCTATCATTAAATACTAGCGTTTGCTTAAAGGCAATGTTATGCTATAAGGTATTTTAATATCAGTAACAATATACAATATTATGAAGTGCACTACTATTAAAAATTTAACATGGAAATAGCCAAGCTGAGTGAATGAAACTGCCTCCCAAAACAAAACAATAACAACAGCAACAACAAAAATCTATCAATGAGCAACAGTTACAAACAAGATTTATAAATAGCAAAATCACTGAATAAAGTATATACATTTTAAAGATTTCTCTATAAACAAATATATAATGCACCTAGGAGAAGCCAGGAACCTTGTCCTGCATCATGTAACATTTCAACATTAGGCATTGAATAAACTGATATCATTCTAAAGGCCGTTTAGGTTTTTCTCCATCTACATAGGGTCTTTAAAAAACAATCTTGGCAAAACTCATTTCTTTAAGTACAATGCTTTGATATTGCCCACTAAGGTATAGTGGCTTGCACAGTAGCACATAACAGCAATCAAAACAGGTTTTGCTCTGGGATAAGAGAAACTAGCATATTTGTAAAGTCTGCATAAGAAGAATAAGGAAAACAGCTACAGACATGGAAAAACTAACCAAGACAATTACTGTATCAAGTTTCCTAATACTTCATGTGTGCCCTGAGCCTTGAGACTTATATCAATTATCAGTTACTTTAAAACCATTCTTCAAAGGCAATGTATTTCACGTTAACAACAACAGTTTGAACTTTTAAGTACCAGGACTATCACAGCATGACGAACTGTATGAACAACTCAAAATGTGTAAAACTAATCTCAAAAGGACACCAGGAAGAAAGTTTGGGACTGAACAATGCCATGCACATGCATCAACATAATTGTGAACAGATATTTTACACTTGTTTGAATTTTTTAAAAAACAAAAAAGTATAATGTGCAAGAACACTTTAGAAATTATTTCTAGTGCAGCATTGATTGACAAAGGATTGCTTAAACTACTTTTTAACAGCATTAAACAAAGCTGAAAGGCATACTCATTACACCTAAATGATCACTAAGAAATGATTAAGGAATCAAAATCTGTAATAAATAGAAAACTAAATCATTCCTCCAATTTTGAAATATTTAAATGTGGCATATTTTTGCTTTGTTTTGAAGTTAAGCCCACTTCCCTGCTATTAAGAGAATAAAATTTTGCAATTTAAACACCACAATATAGCATTCAGGGATACACTTAAAACAATTTAATTTACTCTTTTGTAATTAAAGGCTATTTCCTATTAGATTCCTGTTAACACTGTCCTTCTGTTAAGTGAAAAAGGAACCAAATGAAACAATTATGCTTCATTTTGTACCTTAAAAGCTTAGTAATATCCCTTTGGGAAACACATGCTTTGGTGCTTACAATTTTAAGAAAATAAAAATTGCTTTACATGCAATTGCTAATTATGGTTTATCACAGAAAACAGAGAGTTTTAAACATTTAGAATTGCTCACAATGAAGCCCTGAGGTAACTGCCTTTAATTTAGGCAATAAACAACAGCCTCCCTTTGCTTTTAGATAGTCCTTTTCACAACCTCCCCTGGTATATAAAATCCATAACAGTCTGAGTAACAATATTGCCTGCAGAAAAGTCAATTTAATAAACCATTTATGACAAAGATTCTGCAGACTCAGCTAACTTAGATGCACTGTCATCAAGAGGAGTCTCATTTGAGGTTCCCAGGTCTCCATTTTCATGTCCATCAATTACTGGCTTCTTATTAAAGCCTGAAAAAAGACAGGTGGAATAGAACAAACGTACATTAACAAAACAGAGAAAGAAGAATTTTTTTATAGCTTTATTTCATTCTACAAGGGAAAACCTACTATGATAAATACTTATTAGTTTATTAGGTAAGATAACATGCCCCAAATTATTTATTTAATAGGGCTTGTTACTCTTAATAAGAGGTTGCTCCCACTTTGAACAGGATGTCATACACCGTATAACAGATATCTTATTGAGTTTTTCATAATGTATAAATTTTGTGTATTTATATACACAAAGTATCATCAATTTCTGGTTATTTGCACTAATGAGATTTAGCAAACACTTTGCATAATTTAAAAATATTTCATGGGATATTACAACTTACACAAATGACTCAATCTGAAAAGACTAAAATAATATTCAGTTACTTAGCAATGCCACCAATTTAAAATAAAATAAAATATGAGCAAAGAAACACTACTCCTTTGACTTCTCTAATAGTAAACTAAAGACATTTGTCATCAAACAACTATTAATAAGACTTTTAAAAAAAGGCAAATATCTACTTTTAGGAACTTAAACAAATCACTTTTACCTTGTAACAGTTTTAAGTCCCCACTTGCACTTTTCCGATGAGCAACAGGATTTCCACTTCCCTCTAATTCATCAAGATACAAACGATAACGGTGTCCACTCTCATCCTCATACTCCACGTTTTCATCATCAGAATCTACCTCAGGAGCAACATAAACTACTTCAAACTCAATCTCTCCTCTCTAAATTGGGAGGGGAAGGAAGAAAATAAGAAATTTAAGTTTCTCTCAGTTAAGTATTTCCAATTTCTAAAGGATCACTGCATTTGAGAAGAGGTAAGTTCCAAACTTTTTCTTTAAAATTAATTTTCATTCTACTGATGGGTGGAATTACACTAATGTGTCTACTAATAAAGTTCATCTATAATCATTTAGAATTTACATTAACACACTTGATGATGATTTACCTCAAGCAGAATCTACCTAGGTCCAAATGACTATAGAATCTGTCTTATTGGATGACCTCTTAAAAGTAATGCATGATGTGTTCTGTTCTTTTTATATCAGCACGTAAATCTTAACATGTTCTAGTAATTGGAGGAAATAATTGTTTTATCTAGCATACTCCCTTACCATGTTGCTCTTTAGAGTTAACTTGAGGTAGGTGAACTTGTTTTAAAAAACATACTATTTCAATGTAATAGGTTTCTTTTATAATCTTTTATAATCCTACTCATTTTATTTCATGCATTTAAAAACATCCTGAAAAGAGGACCACAGGATTCACCAAGCTGCCCAAGGCATTCATAATATAAAAGAAGAGGTAGGAATCCCTGCACTAGGCAAATCTCATGTCTATTTTACTGTATGTAAAATGGGGCTATTTTAATGTTTGAAGTTGTTAATTTAATGCAATGAAACAGATCAAAAAATGAAATAGAACACGGGTATTTCTGTGGAGTTAATATATTTACTTTGATCCTCTACTGGTTAATTTGTTTTGAAGCTGGAAATTTAATTCAAGAAAAATAAAAACATTTGTCTTAGCATTACAATTCTTAAAGTGATTATTAGGAGATACTTTGTAGCTCTACCTGAGTAGGTAGAAGTAACGTGTAAAATGGATAGATATTCGGTGGCCAAGCAAGCAGATCCTAATGGAGGTTCCTCAATGGAGATGCACAAATGCATGTCAATGGTACCTGAATTTCCCAATTACAATTTAATGTATCATTAAAGATATCCTTCGTGGCAAATGAAACCAGAGACCCTAGCCACGTTAGTCTGCAGAACAGTATTTGTAAATAGATCCACAGAAGCCTATAAAATCATTCACACAATAGCCGACACTTCTCAGCCGTATTTTGGAAAAGGTTTGTCCCCAGTGAGTGAAATACTGTGAGTGACAGGTGTAGGAAGCCTGGGTTTAGGTCTCAGCATTGCCACTTAGCAGCTGCCTGATCATGAACAGGTCATTTCATTTTTTAATGAAGTTTACTAATTTATTTTGACAAGCACTTTATAATCTCTCCTTCCCATTGTTACATCCTCAATTAAACAATAAGAAAAACAAAATCTTTTCATAACAAAATTCACAGTCCAGCAAAACTAATCTCCACATTGGCCATGTCCAAAAATGTACATTTTATCCTGCATTTTAAATCCTGCCACCATTCTGGCAAGAAGTAGGTGAAATGTGTCATTTCAAGTCTAAAGTCTTTCAAAGTTTTTCAACACTAGAATTTTGACAATGCTTTAAGATCTGCAAAACACTTTATAAATAGCATATTTTATCCTTACAACCCCGAGAGCCAGGTGCTATTATTATACTCATTTTACAGATGAGTAAACAGAGGCAAGCAGTGATTAGGTGACTTGCCCAGGTTCACACAGCTAGTAAGTGTCTGAAGGAAGATTTGAATTCAGATTTTCCTGGCTTCAATACTCCTTTTCTCTTGGTTCTCACTGTTCTGGCCCATAGGCTTCACTAGTGTTTAGCACAGTGTCAGCTACAAAGCAGGCTCTTAATAAATGTTTACTGACTACACAATAACCTTCTGGTTTTACTCTCTCCACTCTATCTAGCACCCACCTTTAAACTAATCTTCCTAAAGCACAGATCTTACCAGGTCACCCCACTGTACTCCCCATTCAATAAACTCCAGTGGCTCACCCTATTACCTCCAGGATTAAATATAAGATTCTCTTTTGGCTTTTAAATCTTCATAATTTGATCCTCTCTGACCTTTCCAGTTTTAAAATCTTATCTCCCTTCATTTACTCTATAATCCAGTGACACTGGCATCCTTGCTATTCCTCACTCAAGACACATTTCCTAACTATGTGTTTTTACTTCATCCCTCATTTTGTTCAGTCATTTTTCAGTTGTATAACTCTTCATGACCCCATTTGGGGTTTTCTTGGCAAAGCTACTAGAGTAGTTTGCCATTTCCTTCTCCAGTTCATTTTAGAGATGAGGAACTGAGGTAAACCAGGTTAAGTAACTTGCCCAGGGTCACACAACAAGTAAGTGTCTGAGAGCCCAAATTTGAACTTAGGTCTTCCTGACTCCGGGTCTGGCATTCTATCCACTGTGTCACCTAGCTGTCCATACTTATATTATTTAACCTCATATTCCTTGCTTCGTTTAGAAGATTGAAACCATACACCTACCATAAACTCTCCCTCAGTTTCATTCCTCAAAGCTTATTCCTTTCTTTCACTAAGGCTAATCCTTCTGCCTGTGTTCTTAATCCCATTCTCTCTAACTCCTTCCAAGACCTTGTTCTAATAGCCAAATGGCTCCTGTATTTCCAAACTTTCCCTGTTCTTTGGCCTCTTTTTATCTGCCTATAAACATACCCAGGTCTCCCCAATGTTAAAAGAATAAACAAACTATCATCTTGATCCTTCTATACTATCTAATTAGTGTACTTTCTTCCCTCTCACTGCTGAACTCCTAGGAATAGTTAACACCCAATTTCACTATTTCCTTATCATTCCATACCTCCTTAACCCCTTACAATGTAATTTCCAACTTCACAACTCTACTAAAACTACTCTCTCAATTGTCCTCTATCTGCTAATGCAATTCAATAGCTTTTTTTTTTTAAAGTCTTTATCTCTTTGACCTCTCTGGGTAAAAATGTGTTACTGGGAGAGGAGACTCAAGCACTCCACCCAAGGACCACAGAGGGATTCTACCCTATAAACAGTGGGGCAAAAGTTTCTATATATCTCTTAAAACTGCTGAGGATGAGAAGACAAGTTATGCTTTGACTATGAGGGAGTCTCAGGCCTCTATTCCTGATAAACCCAACCTTCTTTTGACTTCAGAAACAATGTTTTTTTCTAGGTTCTACTCTCCATCTCTTTCAATGGGTCTTCATTGTTTTCCTGACTGGAAAAGATGAGTACTGCCAAAGTTCTGTTCTTAGGCCTTTTCTCTTCCTTCACTATAAGTTATTTTCCTTGACAATCTCATTTACTTCCATGGTTTCCATAATGACTTATCATAGATAAATGATTCCCAAATCTCTCTGACCCTAAATTTTCTTTTGAGCTTTAAGACCCACATATCCAAAATATTTTCGGGATACCACCACTTAGTTCTTCCAGTACATCAAACAACACACTGGAGATTAATTTCTCCTCTAGAACTGCTTTTGCCTCTTGCTTCACTATTTTTGTGACTGGCACTACCATTTTACCTAGTACCACAATGCTTGAAACTTTAATGTTACCTTTGATTCTTCACCTTTCACTTATGATGAGTTACTTATTTTCCAATTTACTAGGTCCACTATCAATACTGTAGTATGAAGTCTTCAATTCCACCTGCCTGGCTGAAAGCTTTTTAACAGATCTTCCCTATTTCACCCTCAGTTCCCACTCTCCAATTGATCCTTAATAATAATGTCAGATTGACCTTCTTACAAACAGATCTGGTCGTTCCAGTCCTCAATTATTTCCCATTGTCTAAGGAACATGTATACTTCTCTGCCTGGAAATCAAACTCAAGAATAACTTAGTGCCAACCTACCTTTCCAAATTGATCTTCAGACACTTATACTCTGATTAAACAAAAGTATTTGGTGTCCTAAATACATCTTAGGCTTTTTGCCTCCATGTTTTTTGTTATGCTGTTCTTTATGAGTGTGATGTCTTTTTACTCCTTCAGTATCTACTGAATGCCTACCAGTTCTTTAAAGATCAATTCAAATGTCCCAACTTCCATAAAGCCTTCCTCTTTCAACCTTCCAATCAAATGTAACATTGTTTTGTGTTAAACATACATCATATGCCACAAACATCTATCATATATAACAAAAATATTTTTGGGTTAAACATAAACATGTGTGTTGAACACGTTTGTATTTAAACACATCATAAATGAATGCAAAAACATTAAATGTTTATCGTGTTACAGGCACTATGCTAGCAATGATCGTGTTATTCTGTATCAATTATATGTAATAATAATCCCACATCTAGACCATAAGGTCTAGACAAGGCCTGTGTCTTATGAACCTTTGCAGCTCTCCTTGAACCTAGCATAGAGAAAGTGTTTAATAAATATTTATTGACTTTAATCTAGTAAGTACTTGGCTATGGGCACTATATACAAATGTGTAACTCTCATAACTTCATCTTTTATCACTAGCCACTATGTTACTAACCTTTATTATGTGTTATGCACTACTTTACCAGACTTCTCAGAATAATGTTTTGAATAATTAAAAGAAATACTAAATTTTAGTTGGAGGCTAATAAAAATAAGGACGCATTTTTTCCCCCAACCAAGTTCACCAAGTCCCTATCCATGGTCTCCTTGGGGTACCATGGATCTCAGGTTGAGAACTCCTATAATAACTTGACCAGTATTATAATAATGATTCCCAGTCCAGCTATGCCAAATTACTTAAAACTGTGCTTCAATGTCACTGAAGCACTCCCCCTGCTCATACTCTCAGCAGTTATTCTTCTAAAGCTCACTATACAAGCAGTTTCCTGTTGTTATCCCCTCTTCATGTTCTTTCCAGCCAAACTAGGTTATAGTAAACACTGCTTCAGTGAAGACAAGCTAGCTCATTCTGGGATGACTTTTGCCAGTTAATGTCTTCATGATGCCATGTCTTGGCAGTAAAACTATTAAACAAAATTTCTATTTGTCCAAAGAACATTCTTTGAGGTCCCTTCCAGCTCTAAATCTATGACCCTAAATATGTACAAATCAAATGTTTTAAATGTAAAATAAGCTTCTGTTTTATAAGTTATTAAAAAGAACTGCCAATTAAGGAAAGTTAGTTAACTACATAGCCTGGATCACAACTATGAACTGCTAGGTTCTTAGGCTACTGCCTAGGCCACTGAACTGTGCTACCATAGAACAAGTTTTACAGGATAGAAAGAAAGGAAAATACCAACCCACCATTAATGTGTATTTTGAGTTATTTACCAATAACTCTAATGGATTTATGCTGACTCATCCACAATGTTCTGCCTAAACCCTTTGTGACCGCATTCATTTACAAGTTTGGCTGACTCTAATTAGATGTGCAGGCTACGGCTAGCCGACTAGAAAAGAGATTCACCTGCTATACTGGGCCCTTCAACGAGAGATTCTAAGCAAATATAAACTAACCACATGTAGACAACAAAACTGGTCAAATGGAATTTTAGCAAACCAAAAACACAGATCCTAACAAGCATTTCAGATGTCAGTCCTGACATTTTACACCATCTAGTACACATCCTTACCCTTAGTCAATAAAGAAGCACTTAAGTGACTACTATGAATCTGGCACCGTTAGGCACTGAGGATACAAATACAAAAGTGAAACAAGCACTTGACCTTAAGGATCTTACAGTACTTCAAGAATATGTAATTTCAACTTAGAGGGGTGTTTAGATTACACCTTCTGCTTGAGAAAAGAGTTTCTTGAGTTGTTTGCTCTCCCCTTCCCCCACTCATACCATCACCTGGAACCAGCATCTGAAAATAAGCCTCTCTAATGATGTTGAAATTCTTTAGAAATAAATAAATCTTTGTCTAGTTTGTGTTTTCTATAATATTTTACATTTATATATGGCTTTATTCATGCTTAAAATATACTTCATATACTTCAGAATCAGCTGCTAATCTAATCTAGGTCTCTTGTTAGATAATTTGGAGAAAAAGAAGATTTTCCTTTAAAATATTTTGTTGACACTTTTTGTTTTCATATTGCCTACATTTCCCAATACATCCACCTCTCCTTGAAGAGAGCCATCACTTACAACAAAAAAATAAAAAAAGAGGAAAAAAAACTCAAGAAAACTAATCAACACATCAAACCAAGTACATCATTATATGTAGTGTTCCACACTCCTAGTCCCCCCACCTCTTCAAAGAAGGGAGGGAGGTACATTCACTCATATCAGTTCTCTGGAGAAAAGCTTGATCATTTTAATTTCACTGCATTGTTTCATAAAGTTTCCTTTAGTGTAAGTCTGACTAAATGGTCATTTAGAAGAGTCCCAGAACTTCAACAGTGAAATCAAATCAATATCTTGATACCTGAGAGGATTTACAGCAAAGAAAAAAAGCCTATATTTTTGGCTTATAAGTATTCATCCAGGCACCAGTGAACTTACCTGCTGGGAAAGAATAGTTACAGCTTCTTTATGCTTAGCATCTCTCAGGTTAACTCCATTGACTGCCAGAATGGCATCTCCAACATGCAGCCCTCCACAACGATCAGCAGGTTGTCCAGGATGGATTTCAGAGATGAGAATTGGAACACCATGTTCCTTTCCACCCTATCAATATGGAAGAAATAATTTAATTAATAAGTTACAGTCACAGCCAAAATGATCAAGTTAATTTTACATTTAAAAAAAATCATAAAAGCATTTTCATAAAAACTAAGGAATTTTCAAAAGCTATTTTCTACTAAAAGATGATCATTTCTAACATTAACTATCCAAGGCTATATTCATGCAGAACATATAAAATCTCTGAGAACAAAAATAAAATTCTTTCATCAATAAACAAACTGCAATACTTTTTTACACCAACCACCAAAAAGTCACTTAGGAGAAAAAAAGATTTAAAAAAAAATTTCTATTTTTGTTTAAAAGACCTCTTATAATTTTAAAAGCAAATTTCCACAATTGAAAAATCCATACTACAAATGCATAGGGCACTAATTTTATCTTACACAAAAGAACTGATGTCAAATTAATATTTAAACAGCCAAATTAATGTTTACATTTACAGTCACTATTAGATAGAACCCGTAAGTAAATGAATATGTATAATTCCTTCATCAAATGAAAATGAAATTAAAAGATTAGTAAAACCTTAATTATCCTTAAAAGGCTCAGAACTAAGGTCTCAGGCCTTCTAAGCCACAAAGCTGTCATAAAGTCCATTATCAAAAAGGAGATGGTACAACCCACTGGCCTCTCAACTAGGACATGTGTAAACTAAAGTAAAAGATTAAGAACTAATAGGCAGAAAGCAATGACAGATGACAACAAGTGGATCTTAAAACCCAAAACCTAAACAAAACAAAAAATCCACCACATTAATAGGCCCACTTAGTGTAGCCATGTAGTGCTTGACATCTATTTCAGGGTATTATTTTTATTTAAACTCATAATGAAATTTATAATGATCTTGAACCATCAAAAAAAAGTTAAATTAATGTAGGATACATTGTTTACTATGAGAGGTAAGATTTAAATAAAAAAAATAGTTAAAATCTTTAAGAATCAATTTTGGCATTTAAAGGGGGTAAACTTAAATTACTTTCAAAGAGTTAATTCATTCAGCACTTTATTCCCTGAAGCAAGAATTATCATAATAAACAAAAAAAAGAAAAAGCACTACTTCTTACTGTAATTGAAATGCCAAGTCCTTCATGATCTTCTTTAAGGAGAAGGACCTTTCTGATTGGACCAACACCTTGACTTTTCTTTAAGGAATCCTGATCCTAGTTAAAACAAAAAATTTTTTAAGTTAAATTAGGCTTATTGAATATAATTTTACTAAAATATGTTAACTTATTCAATACTACCACATAGCCTTTGTTTAGAAATCTTAATTTTGGGGGAAGTTAAAAGTTGTCAAAAAATAGTTGTTATGAACAAAGGGGTAAATAAAAAGCCATAGAAAATAAAACAGGACACCTTCACTTAAAATACAATGACAATTCATATATTTTTGAACTATCCATTTCAGACTTAAACTGTCAGTTAAATGACTAATAAATTATTTTCACTCTAAGGCTCAGCAAGTAAAGAAGAAATGCAAGGCTTTCCACTCTGGATACTCACATTCCTGCACCCTCAGGGAAAGACATATACTACCATTCTCTTTCTTGCCCCAGTTTTTCTATCCTCACTCAACTTTAATAGTAAGAAAAAAATTAGACTAAACAAAGAAAGGTGATTATCCTGCATGCCATCCTGCAATATGAATCGAAGAATCCTACTTCCTAGTATAGGATTGCTATGTTTAGTTTGGAAAGGAGTAAAGGAGCTAATAAAAGACTCTTTATTGTATGAGGGGCAGCTAGGTGGCACAGCGGATAGAGCACCAGCTCTGGAGCAGGAGGACCTGAGTTCAAATCCGCTCTCAGATCAGACAGTTAACACTTACTAGCTGCGTGACCCTGGGCAAGTCACTTACCCTGATTGCCTTGCCAAAAAAAAAAAAAAGACTACTGTATGATTTTATACTGTGTAGACCATTTCTTATTACACATTCATGCCCCACCACCACCTCTCACAATTTTTTACAAAGTGCCACTCACATTCACTTCTAATGCCAAAAAGTTAGGGAAGAGTGCTCACTAACAGTGGAAAAGACAACAGCAACAAAGGGTATTATCAGCAGGATACTATGTATTCATTAACTGTGGGTAAAAATGAGTTTTATGGAGGCATATAAATTATTTCACTGTCTTGGAACTATCATCTTGCAAATATAAAATGCCTGGATGAACCAAAATGGAAAAGAAATAATTTCATAAGAGTTAGATTTTTTTTCTTTAAGCACAGCTGTTGTAATGGGATTTGATTTGGATTTACCTGAACGGGAAATAAAACCAAGGAATACAGTTGTAGTGATGAAAGCAGATTACTCTATATACATCTCAGAATCTATCCTCATTAACTCAAGATCAGATAAGTGGTAGTATTATCCCAGAATCTGTGTTTCAAATCTGGTAACCAAATCATTCTTAAAATTTTTATAAAACTGTTTCTATCTACATAATGTACATTGTTGTTCAGTCATTTCAGTCCTGTCTGATTCTTATGTCCCCATTTGGCATTTTCTTGGCAAAGATACTAGAATGGTTTGCCATTTCCTTTTCCAGCTCATTTTACATATTAGGAAACTGAGACAAACTGGGTTAAATGACTTGCCCAGGGTCACACAGCTAGCAAATATCTAAGGCTGGATCTGAACTCAGATCTTTCTGACTCTAGGCCCATATTCTTCCACCGAGTCACCTAGATACCCATTTTTTATATATATATATATATATATATATATATGTATATATATATATATATACACACACACACACACACACACACACACACAAACATATATATATACATATATATATATTTATATATATACACATATATTAATAAAGATTGTTTGCAATATATTATACTTTATTGCTTACTTAATTAATTTTATTTACTATATTGATGACTGACTTATGGATAGCAAATGTAATCAAATATACCCATTAGACCAACTTGCTTGATTAGGTCAGGCCTAATCAGGAATAAGGAAGAATTAGAAATATGATCCATAGTATTACTGATCACCACTTTCTAAAGTACCATGATAAGTGGCAGGTATTCCAAGGACTGGTAAAATCTTTATAAGCTGTCATATTTTTTAAATGATTTTACAAATCAGATGAATAAATTTAAGGTCTTTTATTGTAGATTTAATGAACAGATTTTTCCTGAAGAGATTAAAATTAAAATTAAAGGTGGGACTACTAAACACAACAGATTATAATAGAAGAAAAGGCTGGTTACAAGAGGATTCAAAAACATACATGTCCTGGTGGTGCTTGCATTGATCGTTTCAGGTCATTACGTCCTCTGCAGGCTCTAATAACTGTTTTGTGACGATGCAGATGAATTTCAGCTTCTAGTTGGTTCCAAAGTTTGTCATGAGCAGGCCCTTTCATATCTCGACCCAGTAACTGGATCTGTTGGACTCTTTTTATTTAAAAGAAAAAAAAGGAAATTAAATTAATCCAGTTTATCTATATGCCTAGCACCATGCTAAAATGCCATAAGAAACATAAGAGAGAAATATAACATGGCCCTTGCCCTCATGGATCTTGGAATCTTGTTGGGAAGACAAGTACTCACATAAAATAATGAGAGAATAACACAAAATATAAAGTAATACTCAATAAATATTTAATAAATTAAGTAATAATATTTCAACATAATAAAGTATCAAAGTACACGGTCCAAAAACTAAGGATTTGACATCATGAGGAGAAATTCACATTGGCAAGATTTGTCAAGCTTCGTGAAAGAAGTGGAACATAAGACAGGTTTAGACAGCAGAAGCTGGGGGCAGTTCCAGGCAAGGGAAATAATCTGGGAAGTTCTAGGTAAGGGAAACAATCTGAGAAAAAAACACAAGTATGGGAATGAACACACTACGTGCAATAGATATGTAATAAAGTGTGACTGTCAGTAAGTATCAGGAGGAACTTCTTGTAGAATGGTGGATGGGAAGGCTGGCTCCATAAAGCGGGATGAAATTTTGGAGGACTTTAATTCCAAGATGAAGAAGATTTTGAAGTTGATACTATAAGCAAATTGAGAGAGTTTTAATAAGGTCTTTAGGTAGGAGAGTGGCAGTGGTGAGATACAGATTGGGGAGACCAATGACAGGGCTACTGCAGGAGTCCAAAAAAGTGAAAAGAAACTGCTATTTATGTACCTCTTTATAGCTATCCTTAGGAAAAGGAACTCCTGATGAGGAAACTTCCTCTGCCAACAGGGATCAATAATTGTTCTGTACCTATAATTGTATCTATAGTCTTAGATAATTACCTAGAGTACTACAGGTAAAGTGACTTGCCCAGGATCACAGACCCTGCAGTGTCAGATAGGACTTAACCCAAGACTTACTGAGTCTAAGGCCAGCTCTCTATTTTATTATACTGCCCATCTAATGGCTAAACACATTAATTCTAAGCCCTTTCCAATGAATTCCAATATCTCACCAATATTAAGTTCTTAAAATTAGGTTTTATCTAACTGTAAAATTTCTCTTAGGGTAGAGGTTACTGTTCTATTCTCATTTATCATAAGAAATTATCTAACTAACAAATATATGTTAATATAGAAAAGATCTCACTGAATATCCATTTACATTCTTAAATATCAAAACCCCATCCACACTTGAAAATGTACAGGAATCTACTTTTACCCACCTTCCTGCTAATTCTTTATCCAAGTACTTGGCTGCCAGTCTTGCCCCATAAACTTCCGCCTGGAGAACTGCTATGTGTCTACGAAGGGCTTCATTCTCCTTTCTTAATAACTTCACCTCAGCTTCAAGTTGAGCTTCTTTCATTTTTTCTTTTTTGTTTGCTTCAAGCTCTCTCTCCTAACATAATTTTTAAAATACAATTTACTGATAGTACAGTAATAGCATCCTATATTCCTTAGCAAAGACAAAAAATATAAACCAACCATCTATTTTGGACTGGATGTAATTTCATCTGTGTAGGCAACTCCAAGCAAGGAAATTTCCTTGGCTATACAGCATAGAGTCTTAAAGCATTCCCTACAATGCTAAGAAGTTAAGTGATTTGCTCAGGGTCATAAAGTCTCTGTGTGTCAGAAGAGGAACCTGAACTCAAGTCTCCCTAACCCAGGTTGGCTTTCTAGCCGCTATATATTGGACAGTTAATAAACAGTATGTATGCAAAATAAAATGTCATTCATTTCCTACAAAATGAATTATAATACCATAAGTAATATTTCTTTTCAACATAGGTCACACTTTCATATTCAATTAAATTTCCCTAAATCACCACATCATCTTCCCCTAAGGCAAAATAATTCATTAATTCAAACAGAAAACCTAAGGATTTCAACATGCTTAGATCCTGATGTGATCAGCCTAATAAAATGCTATGCCATGCTTTGTTCAGTTGACCTGCTACAATTTCTTTTACAAAAAAACACAAATGCACAAAAATTATATTCATTCAGTATATTTTTTAAACAATCATTTGACTTAGCTGTGAAAGCATAAAAAAGATTCCATTTTTAAGAAATGGCTTGGGGCAGTAGGTGGTGCAATGGATAGAGCACTGGCCCTAGATTCAGGAGGACCTGAGTTCAAATCCAATCTCAGACACATGACACTTACTAGCTATGTGGCTCTGGGCAAGTCACTTAACCCAAATTGCCTCGCCAAAAAAAAAAAAAAAAAAGAAAAAAGAAATTGCTTTCCCAATACTAGGAAATGTTTCAGAAAATAAATGGCAGAACATTCAAATACTATCTTAGTAGAAACTTGAACAAGTGTTTAAGAAAAAAAAAAGCTTAATTTTAAATTATAACCATGTTAAGTTCCAGAAGAGAAAAACTGAAAGAATAAAATAATAGAATCTGCTTCAATTATGAATTTAGGTAAACTTCAAAAGAAAAAGAGTGGGAGGTTGAAAAGAAGGCTAGTACGTTAGTCATCTCACAAATAACTATGCAATAAAGAACAATAACAGTAAGGATAGATTAAACCCATAGGTCTAAAAATAATCTAATAACACCACCAGGCCTGTATCCAAAACTGCAAATAAAATAGCACGTTGACTTGAATTCTGCCTCTCATTTAGCAAATTTAGTAAATAAAATGAAATTGCTAGAAAGTATGAATAGGAAAAGTAAAAAAAAAATTAATATAAAAGTTTAATCTACCCAAATGAGTCATATATTTGTAAAATTAAGTTTGTTTTAATTAAAATCAAAGGTATGAGGAGAAGCAACATAGGATAGTGGACTAATTGGATTTGCAGTCAGGAAAACCTAGATTCAAATGTCACCTCAGATGCTTACTACAGATATGTAACCAAAGGGTAAGTGACAAACTCCGAGTATGTTTCTTCCTCTGTAATATGGGGATGATAATAATAGCTATTACCAGTTGAGAGTGTGGAATACTATATAGCAGAAGGTAAAGAGTATAAGCTTACAGCCAAGAATAACTCAAGTTATATATAACTGAGTATAATCATATGGAGGGAAAATGGATCTTTAATTTTAAAAAAAGGGCTTTTCAAGAATCCCTGATGAAAAGGCAAAGCTATGTAGAAACTTTGAAGTTCAAATACAGGAGTAAATGGGGCAGCCAGGTGGCACAGTATGTACAGCACCAGACTCAGAGACAGGAGGACCTGAGTTCAAATCCAGCTTCAGAGATTTACTAGCTGTGTGACCCTTGGCAAGTCACTTAACCCTGACTGTCTCTAAAAAACAAAAAAAACCAAACACAGGAGTTAAAAGAGACATAAAAAATGTAAATACAACTGAACAGTCATAAGGGACTAAGAAAAAAGATTAAATGCTTATTTTCTAATAGAGGGAAATAATACATGTGTCTCCTCTAATCACTCTTCATCATCAAGGATCACAGGGGGAATCTAATTAGAAGATCTCTGTCCTGAGGACAGAACAAGGACTGATTTTGTTTTATCTTGACAACTTTAGAAGAAGAATGGAAATTGAGGGGAAGAGGAATATACTGGGATAGGGCATGGACACAGGGTAAGAATGAATGAAGGAAACAAGTATTTATTAAACACCTACTATACGTTAGGCATTGTGCAACGGCTTTATAAATATCATCTCATTTGATTCTCACAACAACCCTGGCAGGCAGGTGCTATTATCTTCATTTTACTGTTGAGGAAGACAGAGATTTTTGAGACAGACCCGAATGTTTGGGAAAGTTATCTCATAATAGGGATGCACAAGTAGAAGTCTATAAAAACATGGAGGAAGAAAGGAACAAATGACACTTGAACATCACTTTCATCTGAACTGGTCTAAAGAGGAAAGAATACACCTACACACACACACACACACACACACACACACACACACACAGAACTGAGTACATTTCATTTAACAGGAAAGTAAGTGGGAAAGGGAGAAGGGAGAATGAAGAAGGAAGGGGTATTAGAGAGAGGGGAGATTAAAGGAGGTATTGGTTCTAAGCATAACAAACTAAGGATATACAAAAATATTTATAGCTCTGAAGTGGCACAGAATAGGAATATGAGGTGGTGGTTATCAACTGGCTGAACAATGATATATAAATGTAATAGACTACTATTGTGCTGTAAAAAATGATAAAGGCATGGATGATTTCAGCAAAACCTGGAAAGACTTATGTGAACTGATACAGAGTGATATGAACAGAAGTAGAACAATTTATACAATGATAATATTATAAAGACAAACAACTCTGAAAGACTTAGGAACTCTGATCAGCATAATGACCGACCATAATGTCAGAGGACTAATGATGAAACCTGTTACCCACCTCCTGTGAGAGAGGTGAAAGATTTACAGTGCAAATGAGACACAGGTGTGTTTCCTTTTGGACATGGAATATGTAGAAACCTATTTTGCTTGACTATACTTTTTTTTTCCTTGTCCCAAACTTTCAGATCCCTTCTAGCTCTAAATTTATGGTTCTATGATCTTCCTCAAACTCTGATCACCCTTTTCTGGACTCTCACTTATAGATCCAGAGAGTCTGAATGAGGAGTCAAAGTATCCTCTAAAGCTTCTATCCCAAAATGGATTCTGGGGAACCTAAAGCTTGACAGCTACTGGGGTTAATACCAAAACAAAGACACCTAGGTGGCCCACTATATAAAGAATCATCTCCACAGAGGTGACAAATCAAAGTTGCAAGTAGTATTGATAAACTCACTAAGGGATAGACTCTACGTATTCAATAGAGTACATGCAGAAAAAAAGGACCAAGGACAGAACCTTGGAAGAAATTCATATTTAAGGGACAGAAAGATGAAGAGCCAGTTGAAAGTAACAGAGAAAGTAGTCAGGATAGGTATGAAAATCATGATGGTGTAAGTAAAAAAGTGAAGGGAAGACAGAGTAAATAAATATTTAAAAAAAGGGGGGAGAGATAGTGTGTCACATGATACACAGAAGTCAAGACACATGAAGACTGAGAAAATACAGCCACTGGATCTGGTAGTAAAAGGTCAGAAATGACTTTAGAGAGAGGAGTTGCATTACAATGTTGAACACTAGGGGCAGCTAGGTGGTGCACTGGCCCTGGATTCAGGAGGACCCAAGTTCAAATTTGGCCTCAGATACATAACACTTACTAGCTGTGTGACCCTGGGCAAGTCACTTAACCCCACTGCCTAGCCAAAAAATAGAAAGGTGGGCACTGGAGACAGATCAATCAATTTACAAGTATTGATTAGATGCCTAACAAGCAGTGCTTTAAGTACAAAATGAAACAGATCTTGCTCTCAAGGAAGACATAAATATATACAGAAAATATACAAAATAAATACAAATGCAAATATAATATATACAAATATAAAGTAAATTTGGGAAGGAGGGTACTAAGTAACTGGGGGATCAAGAAAGGTTTCATATAAAAAGTGATACTTAAACTGACTTTGAAGCAAGCAAGGGATTCAAAGGGTAGAAAGAAAGAGGAAGTACTTTCTAGGTTTGAGGAACACGCAAAACAAAAGCAGAGAAAGAACATCAAGGGTCATGTCTGATTGATGAGGAACAACAAGGGGAGCAGCAGTCTGGATAGACTGAAGAGTGCAGGCAGAAGAAATAATATATGAAAAGCCTGGAAAAGCAGGCTGTGGTCACAGTACAAAAGACTTTAAATGCTAAACAGATTTCTTATTTGATCTTAGAAGTAACAGGCAGCCACTGGAATTTATTGAGTAGGCAGGCCTACTTAAAGAAAAAAATCACTTTGGCAATGGTGTGGAGGATGGGTTAGAGAGAACACGGAAGGAGATCAATTAGAAGGCTATGAAGCAGCCCAGGTGAGAAGTAAAGTAGGCCTGGTGACTTTGTGGAGAGAAAGGGATTTACACAAGAAATTTATGGAGCTAGAAATGAGAAAGTTTGGCCACTAAATGAATATGTGAGGTGAGAGAAAGGAGCCAAGGATAATGTCATTTTGGAAATTTAGGAGACTAAAAAGCATGGTGGTTTCATTAATAGGAGGATGTCTGGAGGGGAAAGCTTTTTTTTGGAGGGGGGGAACACAGGCAGTTTGATATGTCTATGTGACACCAACTTTGAAATGTTCAAAAGGCAGGTGGTAATGGGGGACAAGCTTAAGAGAGACTAGATAAAAATGCAACAGACTGATGAGTGAGTAGTGAGGAAGTGGAAACACGGAATATAGATTATTCCTTCTGGGAATCTAGCAGTAAAGGATAGAAAAGAGAGAGGAAGAATGATAGTTTAAGTCAGGAAGAAAGATCAAAATAAAGAATTTCTTTCCATCTCTCTTTCCATTCTCTCCCTCTCCCCTGCCCCTCTCTCAGATTCAAAAGAATGTTTATAGGCCAAGGTGAAGAA